CAACCTCCACCTCCCAGATTCAAGCAATTCTCCTGCCTTAGCCTCTCGAGTAGCTGGGATTACAGGCATATGCCACCACGCCTGGCTAATTTTTGTATTTTTAGTAGAGACAGGAGTTTCTCCATGTTGGTCAGGCTGGTCTTGAACCCCTGACCTCGTGATCCACCCACCTCAGCCTCCCAAAGTGCTGGGATTATAGGTGTGAGTCACTGCACCTGGCCTCTTTTGCCCATTTTTAAATCAGATTAAGCTGGGTGTGGTGGCTCATGCCTGTAATCCCAGCACTTTGGGAGGTCGAGGCAGGCAGATCACTTGAGGTCAGGAATTCAAGACCAGCCTGTCCAACATGATGAAACCCTGTCTCTACTAAAAGCACAAAAATTAGCTGGGTGTGGTGGTGCATGCCTGTTATCTCAGCTACTTAAGACAAGAGAATTGCCTGAACCCAGGAGGTGGAGGTTGCAGTGAGCCAAGATCGTGCCACTGCATTCTAGCCTGGGTGACAGAGCAAGACCCCATCTCAAACACACACACACACACACACACACACACACACACACAGTCAGATTATTTGATTTTTTTTTTTTCCTATTGAGTTGTTTGAGATCCTTTCACATTCTGGTTGTTAATCCCTTGTCAGTGGCATATGGAAATGCTACTGATTTTTGTATGTTGATTTTGCGTCCTGCAAATTTAGTGAATTTATCAGTTCTAATAGCTTTTTGATGGGTTCTTTAGGTTTTTCTAAATATAAGATTGTATCATCTACAAACAAGGATAATTCGACTTCTTTTTTTCCAATTTGGATGCCTTTATTTCTTCTCTTATCTAATTGCTTTAGCTAGATGGGCTGTAAATATTTTCTCCCATTCTGTCAGTTGTGTCTTCATTTTGTGAATTGTTTCCTCTTTTGAGCAGAAGCTTTTTAGATTGATGTAATCTCATTTGTCCATATTTCTTTGGTTGCCTGTGCTTTTGAGGTATTACTCAAGAAATTTTTGCCCAGACCAATGAACTGGAGAGTTTCCCCAATGTCTTCTTGTAGTAGTTTCATAGTTGGAGGTCTTAGATTTAAGTCTCTAATCCATTTTGATTTTATTTTTGCATATGGTGAGAGATAGGGGTCTAGTTTCACTCTTCTGCATGTGGATATCCAGTTTTCCCAGCACCATTTATTGAATAGACTGTCTTTCCCTGCAGTGTATGTTCTTGGCACCTTTTTCAAAAATGAATTCACTGTAGGTTGGTGGATTTGTTTCTGGGTTCTATATTCTGTTCCACTGGTCCATGTGTGTGTTTTTATGCCAGTACCACACTGTTTTGGTTACTATAGTTTTGTAGTATAATGTGAAGTCAGCTAATGTGATTCCTCCAGTTTTGCTCTTTATGCTCAGAATGATGTTGGCTTTCTGTGTATTTTGTGTTTCCACATAAATGTTGAGATTAGTCTTCTATTTCTGCGAAGAATGTCATTGGTATTTTCATAGGGATTGCATTGAATCTGTAGATCGTTTTGGGTAGTGTGGACATTTTAACAATATTGTGTGTTCCAATCCATGAACATGGAATATATTTCCGTTTTTTTTTTTTTTTTTTTGGTGTGTGTCCTTTTCCATTTCTTTCATTATGCTTTTATAGTTTTTATTGCAGGGATCTTTCATTTCTTTGGTTTATTCCTAGGTACTTTATTTTATTTGTGGCTACTATACATGGGATTACTTTCCTTTTTTTTTCAGATTGTTTGCCGTTAGCATATAGAAATGCTACTGAATTTTGTATGTTGATTTTATATCCTGCAAGTTTAGTGGATTTGTTTATCAGTTCTAACAGCTTTTTGATGAAGTCTTTAGGTTTTCCTTTTTTTTTGAGATGGAGTTTCACTCTAGTTGCCCAGGCTGAATGGTGCTATCTCGGCTCGCTGCAATCTCTGCCTCCTGGCTTCAAGCAATTCTCCTGCCTCAGCCTCCCAAGTAGCTGTGATTACAGGTGCCTACCACCATGTCTGGCTAATTTTTTGTATTTCTAGTAGAGATGGAGTTTTACCATGTTGGCCAGGCTAGCCTTGAACTCATGACCTGCGGTGATCTGCCTACTTTGGCCTCCCAAAATGCTGGGAAT